TAGATAACCTCTAATCAAAACGTTTTTCACTTGATGGCAATTCCAAAAACGTTGGAGTTATTTTTTGTAGCACTTTCAAATATTCGAAAAGGCCAGTAAGCCATATTTAGGAAAAATGTTCGATGAACGTTTCTATGTCGTGTTGAAATTGTGAAATCGAATGGAGCATCTCTGATTCAAATGTTTTTTGCTGGTTGGCAATCCTCATCAACACGAAATGAATATAGGCATTTGAAATAGAAATAGTACCTATCCAATTTTTTTCTGGTATTGTTGCAAGGATGAACGTTAACATTCAAATTTCCAATTTACTTGCCCCAGTGTTCGAACATACAAACTGTGAACATAATTATAGGCATGATTCTGAAAATGTGATGCATTTTATCACAGCTAAAATCACCAGAAGAGCCTTTTTACATTCACACTCCATTAAATGAATGATTGCTTCCGGAGCAGGACCCTTTATTGAGGATATAACCTTGAACTTATATTGTCTTCAAGCACCCAGCCGCAGTTTGAAAGACTGTGCAAATCTGGGATACTATCGGTAGTCCTTTGACGAACAGAAGCTTTGAATCTGGCCCTATAGTTATAAACTGATTAGATTTGATTCAATTCCTCCAGAAATTCTTACATCAAGAAGATTCCCACCTGCTACATTAGATCGTACTTATGAACTTGTAAAGAAGACAAACAACTTTCTCCAAATGTTCATTGTCATTATCAGAAAAAGTACATTCTAGGTTGGCAATTGCTCTGAGGATTTTCTCGTCTTCTAACTTCAAAAACAATTTGAAACATGACTCCTTGCTTTTCCTGAAAATTTTAGTTACACGTTCCTGTGAAAGCATGAAAACTAAATAGGACGCGAGCGTGCTCTTCGTCAATCGCCTCGTATGCATATTTAACTTCAACATCTCGTCTGCCTCTCCCTGACCCTGTCAAAAACAAGACGTCAGTTGGTAGAGTTTCATACAGGCCTACGAGAAGGAAAAATACATCTGTATCTGAACTGTCGATGGTGAGTCGAATGTTTCTTTTCCATATTGTTCAGTGAAAAATGCAGCATGGAAAATAAGTAAAGTGTCTGCTTCTTTATGTTTTCATTCTCAGATTTTTCCAGGAATCTCAACATTGGAATGACTTCGATTATCAGTACTAACGACTACCTTTCCCAATTGGTTCTCTTCATTTGTGCTATGTTCTAGTACCTACTATCTAGGGTCCCTTGATGGAAATTGACGTTAAAGTCATCCTAACAGGGTACGGACAGATCATAGCTGCAGACTTTGGTTTTGTCTACTGGCATCCCTGACATTGCTGTCACGTCACATCCATGGGCGCTACAGAAAATCATTCAAAATTTTAATAATAGGTTTGTACAGGGTATCAACTTGTTGAGGAAGATCATATGGCGATCGAGTTTCGTAATTATGATCCGATTCTATTCAAAATTGAAAGGTATCTGGGGTTTACCGGGGTTGGAGATAATGATTGTTTCGTCAAACTTGGAAAATTCAAGATGACTGATCCAATATTATAGCGGAAGAAATTTCTAATTATGATCTGATTCTATATAAGATTGGTATGTGAGGGTTTTCGGGCTCGAGCTCCATGATTTTTCGTCAAAATTGGGAAATTCAAGATAGTGGATCCAATATGGCTAACGAGTTTTGTAATGAAGATCCGATTCTATCAAAATTGGTATCTGGGGGTTTTCGGGGTAGGAGATAATGATTGTTTCGTCAAAATTTGAAAATTCAAGATGACAGATCCAATATGGTGAACGACATTAGTTTATATAACTATTACTTTACCACAAATAGAAAATATGTAGGATACAAGAGTGAAAATAACGTGCTTATAAGTTATACTGCGTAAACCTACTTCTTTGTTACTTTCTTCAATGAATTATTCAAAGATGACTTTTTATTTAAGGGAGACGGAAAAATCATGTGTATATTCTATCCTTTATTTTCCTGTACTTTTTACGTATTACTTGTTATCAGCCTACTTTTCGTCCCAGACGATGTTTTATACATAGTGTGATATTAGTCACTCCATAAATTCTTCTCCAAATTGGATTTCCGAAAATATATTTAGCGCATGACATGAGTACAGTAGTTTCAGATACCCACATATCGAGGTTTCCACCATTTCTCAATCATAACGCTCTGCTAATTCACCTCATAGATAAACTTCTGCTCAGCTTGAAATCAAAATTATTTTAGTCAATTCAGTCAACCCTGCAGTCTGAGAACAGTCTAACATTATGCTGGAGTTGTGAACTCTAAAACTAGAGGATTGTTCATCTATATCTTGTTATATTCGAATCAGGAATTCCATACTGAAATAACGTATGATACGCCAGTGACCTCAATATAACCTAAAAAACAACTAATGTCAAAAATCTAGTGTTTATCCCCAGAATTGAATAAGGATGGAACTATATAACTGTTTCACGAACACTTTAGAGTGAGAGGAGACGAGGATCTGTCCGTACCCTGTTAAGATGACTTTAACGTAAATTTCCATCAAGGGACCCTACTACTATCTAACGAGGAATGTTTTCAAACTGATGTTCACGGAAATATGTATTATCACCTCCTGTGTATCTGATTTTTGAGGAAAACTTCTTGATGAAAATCAAAGAAGAGATGAATTTGAGAGAATAGTCTACCAATCTCTCTAGAGTATGTGTAGAAGAGTCCTTACATGTGATCGACTGCACGAGAGCAATTCCGTCAATTATTAATAAAAATATGTGACGTTTGTAGGAGTTATAAGAAGATCGAATTCGTATACGAATGAAATTGAAAATAGACCCCCAGGGGCGCTATTCTTGACCGTTCGCATCTTTCAAGGTCATGCGCATCTCATGATTTCGCGAATGATATGTGATTTTGGTATTCTTGACTATTCGTAGAATGTGCGAACATGCTTGTTTTACAACGAGTGGTGTTTGGTGATCGTAAATGTCTTCCGATTTTCAAGATTTGACAAGATTGACTTATTTCAGACTTGAGTGGTTTTACACTGTTTATATTTTGTTGGTTATAGTTGATGGTTGATGTGCATTATTATTTTTCATATTCAAAAAAGTGAAGTAATAGTACCTACATGTGAGAAATTTCGGTATGGATGACCTACAGCATATAGCCAATTTGAAAAATTTGCAAATTGCAGACCAAGAAATCAATAGACATAATCGTTTTGATAATATATACCCCTTCGAGACTTTGACTGAACATCAGTTCTTACAGATATTCAGACTCTCAAAAGAATCAGGCAGATTCTTAATAGATTCCTCAGCTCCCTTTAGGCGACCTCAGAAGAGGCCTACTGACCTGAGTATAACAACCAGAGTAAGTTTTACTTCTATGAATTTGTATCTTCTTTCACCAAAAAGTTTTCATTCCCTAGGTTTTGGTAGCTTGACGATTTTTTGCGTCTGGAAGTTACCAGATGGACATTGGGAGGAATATATTTGTCTCAGTGTCTCAGCCATCTGTCTCGAGATGTATTGAAGAAGTCACGATTGCTTTAAATGAACCAGTTATTTTCAATAGATGGGTTCATTTTCCGAGAAATTTGGAAGAATTGAATGCAGGAAGACTTAAGTAGGTATTTGCTGGATTTTTTTCTTTTCACCCTATTTTTTATCACTAATGCCATAGATTTTATGAAGAACACCATTTTCCTGGGGTTGTTGGCTGTGTGGATTGCACGCACATATTGCAATATTTCCACCAAAAATGGAAGATGCTGATTTTCCAGAACATGTTTATGTTAACAGAAAAGGATATCATTCTATCAATGTCCAGCTGGTTAGTCCATTATAGAAAAACTAATACCATTTTACTAAAAATGGTCGTTCAAAATCTTCATTTTTGCTCAATATACTTTTTTTTCAGATTTGTGATAGTAGATTGAAAGTGATCAATGTGAATGCAAGATATATAGGAAGCACCCATGATGCTTTCATTTGGGGAAATTCAAATATCCTGAATGTTTTCACTAATTTGAATGCTCAGGGACATACAAATTATTATTTATTAGGTGTTATATGATGATCAATTCCTTCGGTTTCTGTATTTGATTTTGTTTTATTAGGTGACACTGGGTATCCCCTTAGAACATGGCTTCTTACACCACTAGAAGACGAACCTCCTGAGGATACTCCAGAACATAATTATAATGTGGCAAAAAGATGTTTGATAGAGAGGTGCAATGGAGTTCTGAAAATGAGATTCAGATGTTTATTCAAGCACAGAACACTGCATTACAAGACCTGCTGTTGCATGTAAAATAATCAATTCTTGTGTTGTACTTCACAACATGTGTATAGAGTACAACACCCCAATGCCAGAGGATGAGGAAATAGGGGAAAATTATGATTTCGGTATAATCTGAAAATGGCCCTGATGACAATATTATAAACAATGCAGCAATTGGCCGAGTGATCCTCAACTTGCTGCAGGAAGAAGAGCAAGAGCACAATTGATTAATACCTTTTTCCAAAATCATTAGTACCATACTCATTAATCAAATACAATTGAGCCTGTTTGTCCAATAAATCATACAAAAAATGGCTTTGTTTTTCTTCAACAGAATATTTTAACAAGATATATCATTTGCAAAACAAGTAGGCATAGTCTGTATGCACATGCCTTCCTGTAAATGAGAGTTGGATATTCAAAACAAAATTAGAATTGGTTCCTGCTTGTCCTCTTTGTTGATGGAGTAATTTGAATGATAATTTCAACTTTGTAATACTTTGTGAGGTATATCTCAGAAAAATAGACATTTTCACCATAAATACATTGAAACAAAAAACATCTCACTTTGAAAATAATAAATAACCAAACTAAAAATAATGACTGCCTTCTATCACAAGTTTAAATAAAACAAATGAATAGAAAAAGTATATCACAATCGAATGAACTAGAATACAAAAACATGTTACTTTAACTAATTCCTATTTAACAAACAGCTTCTACAAGATCTTTCAGGGTACTAGAAATCTCCTCCAGGGCAGATACACATCTTTCTTGAGCAAGTGCAGATGCTGCCTTAGCAGTTGCTACCTTTTCTTTGGCAACTGCCATCCTTTCTAAAATAATCAATTTTTTGTTATAGTATTAGGATTTTATACTATTTTTCTTCTCCAGGCTTCGGCAGCCTCAGAGGCATACACCAATTTCCTTCTCGGAGCTCGAGGAATTTGTTTTTTGAAAACCTTGGAACTTCCACATAATGGGGAAACCAATGAATTTGAATCATTGAAGTTGTTCTCTTTCATATTTTCATTTTCTTCAAGCGTGGGCAACTCTCTGATGTTGACACTATTATCGTTTCCTTCACCAGAAACGTTATATGTTTTCGACTGATCATCACTGATTTGTTTGGAGATATTGAATGAGAAATCAGTAGATGATTCTAACACGTTTCTGTGTCCTTCTATTGACACAAGGCTGATTGTTTCGAGCACTTTATTTTCAAAATCAGTATTAGGGTTTCCTTGATGAGGGCCACCGCCTGTTCCTTTTTCATAATTTTTCAACTTGCTAGTTTTAGTCTTCGTTCTTGACCTTAATATCATGCCATGTCTGAAATAAATGTGGGTATTTTTACATTGAATAGAATTAACTAATTATGTATATACACACATGACTTTCAACGCATCTATATGTTTGTATATCCCACACAACACATTCGTTCAGCACTGATAGGTAGAGTTTATTCTCGATAATGCCTGGCTGTGTAGAATGAAAATGTTGTTTCTTCTGAAGTAAGTTCTATATATACGGTTAATGATTCCCATTTAACGAGCTATTCTGGCAAACATGCCAAACAATTTTGAAATGATGAATTCACTCTGTTCTGTAAGTTTTCGAAGTTCAACATTCAAGCACAGTGACATCCTGGGGCAATAGACGAGGACAGCAAATCTAGAAAAATCAATATTCCACCTCCAAGATTACTATTATGTATCTGTTTTCATTCATATTATACATGTTTCATTTTTTGTTGTTGTGTTATAATAGTTTTGATAATAAAGCTTTCTGTTCACCAACTGTGAGCGGTTATTTTATTCCTTTTATGATTACTCTAATAGTAAGCTGTAACTTGATTTCCTTTAAAATGATATTCTCTTGGAACAATGGATCCTCTGAAACAACATTATCTCTTTGATGTAACACGCTTGAAATTTCTTGATTCAAGAACAAAATTGTTCAACTATAATGAGAGATTATCTTGACAATAGAAGATTTTTCTTGTTTCAAACTTAATAATTCTTTCTTCGACCAATACGTGCTGTGATAATGAATAAATATTTTAGCTAGTTTTGAGCGATGAATATATCCTGAACCCGAAATTTCAACGATATACTGTTATTGAGCATAACAGAATGAGTAGATTCAGTTTTGAGCGATTTGAAATGTTCATTTAATCAGTGCTCAGCTTCCGAATGGAATGAAGTTGGAGATGCTATTCAAATACTTCCGAATACAACAACAGATAAATATTGTTTTCAGGCAGAAGGTTCATTTATGCCGAGCTAGGTTAGATTGTATAAAACAAGTAGTCTCATTTCCTATGCAGAAGGGATATTTTCCTTCTTTATGTTACAGAACATGCAGTATTTTGCTCGGATTATTTGGTCGGTCGTACCGGGTTTGGAAGGCTGTAATAGTTATTTATGTATCAAGGGCGTAAAGTATGTGTTTATGGCCTGCGGCGTGAATAATGGCCCGATGGCGTAAGCCGAGGGCCATTACACGCCGAAGGCTATAAACGCATTTTACGCACGTGACACATACAAAATTTTATGCACTTGTGGTTTATTTCCCGAATTCATATGTTGCTCATAAATTCAGTTTTCGAGAGAAGCGCAAAGTTTATGTGTTTTATGTACATATTTAAATTACCGTACGAATATCGCAATTATCGAAAGAGTAAAACTCTTTGTTCACTTACAGAGATTCATTCCTTGAGAAGTAGCAATATGTATACCCAGTATATAGCTACCTAAATTTGACGTCAATCAATCTGATGGTTCCCCTCTAGCAATACATCCAAAAAACAAGCTGAAATTGTCATCTTTTGGCTGAAAACTTCAGATAGCCAGAAAGCAACTATTCAAAGAAGGAAGCTATAGGGAAAGATGGAATCTGATGAACAATAACATGTATCAAAATCATATACAGGGTGTTTCATTGGGAAAGGTAAATAATTCAACTGTGGATAGGGGTCACTGAGGTGATTTCAAAAAACCCATGGTTGATGGGTCTTCGACTTCTTATAACCGAGATACACGATGTTTCATCAATTTTGTCCATATCTTCATTGTCTCATAACTTTCCAACCAACCTGTATATATTTTTAAAAATTTGTACACTTGCTCAATCTACCCTGTAGAATTGATTGAGGCAACAACAAAAGATAAAATCCAGGTCCGGCTTCACTTAAAATTCACAAATTCTTTCTGCCAGAAAACAACACCCTATATATACATTCGAATTTCTCATTTTTTTTTGCCATATCTGGAAAGAACATCAAAATTTTTATTCAACGATGTGCTTTTTATTCATGCACAGACGATTTTAACTATTCATATTATGTGCTCAAAATATTATTTTTGCTCATTTTGGGGTTCAAAATTGGAATCAGACAAGATTTATTAATTTAATTACTTCCTATTCAGTATACGTGAGTATCACATTTAGAAGGAGTATTTCATATCGTTCTTTGTTCCAGACTTAGTTGCAGGTCCGTCATCAAAACTATACAGGGCTTTTTACGATGAGCGTTAATTTGACGTTTTCGACAAACCAGGCAACGGATAAATCTGAAATTCCGATGGTATGTATGAATTAACATAATCTACACTACTGAAATATTTGAAACGATACGACCTTGCCGCTTCTACTAGAAAGTAACAGCAACTTCGATTTTTCAAATGGGACATCCTGTGTTTCATTACAATCTTGGATTCTTGCTGAACAGCATAATATGTCAATATGATCATCAGGCGCGCTTTTTGTAATTTGAAATTGATTTATGCCAACAGAAAAGTCTTAGACAAACGTAGTAAAATAACTTTATGTGAGTCTCTAGTTCTCTCTCACTTAAATTATGCGGACATCATCTACGGACCCGCCATAACTAAAAAAGATCTCCAGCGTCTTCAACTCATTCAAAACTCTTGCGTGCGTCTCATCTGTGGCCTGAGTAGACGTGATCATATTTCCGGACCTCTGAAAGAGCTAGGCTGGCTCAATGTTGAAAACAGGCGAATTCTTCACTCATGCACATTATTTCACAAAATTATAACCACACAGAAACCACCGTACCTGCATGAAAAAATTACATTTCGTACCGACGTCCATAACCTGAATACACGCTTTAAGTCTTTACTTACTCCACCCCTGCACAATACAGTACAATATCAATCGTCTTTTTCATTCACGATAACTCGGCTATATAACAGGCTTCCCGATGCACTAAAAAAAACTGGTAATACATCTAACTTCAAACTTCAACTGAAAAAAATACTCCTATCAGGTGATCTTCGCTTCTAAGCATTCTTATAACTTATTTGTATGGGTATGTGTATGTATGTATGTGGGTATATGTAGGACGTATATATGTGTGTATATATGTGTGTATATATATGTGTATGTATATGTATATATATATATATATATATATACTACTATAAAAATTTTCGATAACTGATCGTATGTCCGGACCTGCGCAGGCTCACTGGTACCAAATTCGTTATCAAGTATATTATTCAGAATATGTATTGTACACTCTAGTTTTAGTTTTGACAAGGTTGAGTGGAAGAAAGCACTTCCTCGTTTCCTTTTGGGAACGTTCAAGAGCTAACTCTGCCATTTGATAGATAGACTTATTTTTTCCCCTAATGTATTTTTGTTTTGTTCTTTCTGTCTATCAATAAAAGCGTTTATTATTATTATTATTATTATCATAATTCATCGATTCAAAACATTCAAGGTCTAGCGGGACTGATATCTGAGATATAGGATGTGGAAAATCGAGATGTTTCAACCTTAGAAATGTTTTGTGTTGAAACTATTTATTATTGCATGGTCAAAACGGCTTCAATGTCCCTATCAAAAATTTCCATTCGATATTCAATTGAAAGAGATACAGGGTGGTGCAGAAATCTGAATTATGAACCATCCTGTATTTGTTTCGATTAAATGTCAATAGATACAAAGTTAAGATAGGGACATAAAAGCCGTTTTGATCAATAATAAATATTTTCGCAAAATAATTCTGAAGTTGAAACATCTCGATTTTTCTCACTCTAAATATCTCAGTTATTAGTCCCACTAGACCCCGAACTTTGTGAATCGATTAAATCAGCTCTTCAGGAAGCATCCAGGGTGTCCCATTTGAAAAATCAAAGTTACTGCTACTTTCGAGTAGAAGCGGCAACGCCGGATTGTTTCAAATATTTCAGACGTGTAGATCATGTCAATTTATACATACCTTCGAATTTTTAGATTTATCCGTTGCCTGGTTTGCCAGAAACATCTAATTAACGCTTATCGTAAAAAGCCCTGTATAGTTTTGATGACGGACCTGCAACTAAGTCTGGAACAAAGAACGATATGAAATACTCCTTCTTAATGTGATACTCACGTATACTGAATAGGAAGTAATTAAATTAATAAATCTCGTCTGATTCCAATTTTGTACCCCAAAATGAGCAAAAATAATATTTTGAGCATATAATATGAAAAGTTAAAATCGTCTGTGCACGAATAAAAAGCACATCGTTGAATAGAAATTTTGATGTTCTTTTCAGATATGGCAAAAAAAATGAGAAATTCGAATGTATAGGGTGTTGTTTTCTGGCAGAAAGAATTTGTGAATTTTAAGTGAGGCCGGACCTGGATTTTATCTTTTGTTGTTGCCTCAATCAATTCCACAGGGTAGATTGAGCAATTGTACCAATTTTTAAAAATATATACAGGTTGGTTGGAAAGTTATTATAAGACAATGAAGATATGGACAAAATTGATGAAACATCCTGTATCTCGGTTATAAGAAGTCGAAGACCCATCAACCA